ATGTTGTCTCTTTAGTGTCAAGCTGGGTTGCACTTTTGTAATATAATTGGTCGCTTTTAAGCACAAGGGGGCTATCCCGAAAAATGCCGTTTTGAGAAAATCGAAGGTAAAGCTTTTACCCCTTGTTCAGTTTCTTTGAAAGACAAGGAGAGTTTTCTCTATAACCAAACAAATATACACGCCAATGAAACCAAACTTCTCCTATAGGTAGGGCACTGCCCATTTTCGGTGTAGGTCAAGATTTCTGGAAACCCCCGAAATCTGGGTAAGCCCGTTTGTCCTTAAAAGCGACCAATTATAATATGTAAATGTTCATTTTTGTTTAGCGTAGAACAGTCCTGCTCCCCGGCGTCAGGGGCGTAGCCGTTAAAAGCTTTGCTGTCACTTGCAGGAGACCCGGGCTCGATTCCCGAGTGGTGATTTTTGTTTTTTGTTGTTTTTTTTGTGTCGAGTATTCTGGTCTTTCTGCTGGGATGTTGTGTCCCTCTCAGCCGGTGTTGGCCGTGGCCGGCAGGGTCAAAGCCTGCCTCCCAGATTGCGTTTTTTGGTGTGTTTTTTTTTGGTGTTTTTTGGTGTTTTTTTTTTTTGGGGGGGGGCATAAACACGCCTACATTAAAGAAAACCGTGAGACGAATATAGGTTCCTAAGTATACTATCATGTTATTGTTTTGTTTTGGTTTGGGGTTGGGGGGGGGGTTGATATAAATTTGTTTTTTTTAATCTTTTTCTAGGGACGAGGGGGTAGGGTTGGCTCTGACAGGCAGGTACGAAAACTGCTTTCTAAATGTTTTCAATTATGTTGAAAATGGTGTAAATAGAATAGATTTAACGCCCCTATCAAAACTATTAGTATTAGGTTATTTAAGAGGCGGGACCTCCGACTTTAACGTCCATCTCCGAAAGAACTGAGCCAAGCTGGAATTTCATGTAAAGTGCCTTTCCCAAGGACACAACGTCGGACCGAGCTTAGACTCGAACCCCCAGACTCGCAATTTGTCCCCGCGGTTTTATGAAAAAAAAAAAATTCAGAAATTATGCACACACAAATGTGAAAGTATGCGATTCTGTTAAATTTAACAAAGTAGCAAAGAATGATAACGGAAAATAATCAGAAATTATGCAAAAATGATTAAATTTCGCTAAATTATGCGGGGTGCACAAAACCACGGCTACAGGCAAATGTCAGGATTACGAGTCCGGTAGCCTAACTACTAGGTCACCAACGCCACTCATTTATTTGTGTTGGATAGTGGCTTAAAAACGTCAAGATAAAAAAATAAATATACTTGAAAGCTCAGGCAGCAGTTATCTCTCCTGCTATTGAGTGTTAACATACCCGGAAGAATCGTGCTGTTATTGAAAGCTGTGGACGTTGGACTTACCTACTTGATTATATATACGTGAGGCGTCGTGGTGACACCAGGCGCTCGTCAAAATAATGGAATAGAAGAAAAAGGCATGTTTCCCCTGGCTGTCAATTTTTCTTATCGAATTTTTGCGTGTTTGGCTCAACACCTTTTATGTCCATTTAAAATCACATAATTTATTTGTGAATTTTACTGGAAAATGTTGATAAAAGGCACTCCAAAAAAAAGAAGAAAATTGTCGGTTTCCAAGGACTCTCTCAAGCTATGAAAGTCACCCAACTGTGACAGCCATTTTTTCACTAACTTTACCCCTAAAACCAGGCGCCCCCAACCTCCTTCGATCGCAAATTATCTCTACGCTTCTATTCAAGAAAGATGGGTTTGTATCTTTTTTTGTCATTGAAAGCAAGACAAAATGAACAGGCTTTAAAATGATACTAATAACTCCACATGGCCACAAATTGACGAGCGTCTGATTCGATCACGTCGTGACACACACACACACACACACACACACACACACACACACACACACACACACACACACCAAGAAATGAACACCCCCACAACACGACGGCCATAGAATCCAGAATTCTAATCCAAACACAAGTGAACTTGTTGTAGTCACAAACTGTGTATTGTTTTTCTCCCTCCCGCGACACAAGAGCGGTATAAATTATGTTAACAACAACAGGTCGACCCCACCTCCCTGAGCGGCGCACACACCAATCACTGGACAGGACAAGAGCGGAACAACGGGGGGAACTACAGACACGCATGGCACCCCTCATACCCCTTCCCACATCTCCCCACCCCCATCGTCCCCCCTCCTCTCTCTCTCTCTCTCTCTCTCTCTCTCTCTCTCTCTCTCTCTCTCTCTCTCTCTCTCCCCACCCCAAACTTCACACTCGGCCCCTCTAGATCTGTGCCTGTCACAGTCGGACATTAACCCTTTATAGTCAGTTCTGGTACCGGAGATCTGTCGTTATTAGCACTAGAGGGTTAAGACACAAGACACCAGCACCCACCACTAGAGGGTTAAGACACAAGACATCAGCATCCACCACTAGAGGGTTAAGTCACAAGACATCAGCACCCACCAGTAGAGGGTTAAGTCACAAGACATCAGCACACACCACTAGAGGGTTAAGTCACAAGACATCAGCACCCACCACTAGAGGGTTAAGTCACAAGACATCAGCACCCACCACTAGAGGGTTAAGTCACAAGACATCAGCACCCACCACTAGAG